CTTGAAAATAATGTGATATGAAAAAAAATGTAAAACCAAAAAAAATGCTTTGAAAAAAAATGAAACAATCTTGATATGAGGAAAATACTTGTGATATATAGATGAAAAGAGGACTGAAAAATAAAATTAAGAGATGAAAATAATTGGTGATGAAGTCTAAAAGTGCAAAGTGCTTAGGGAAGTATAAGTCACTATTTTATAATTCTCCTACCCGTCCCTTAGCAAATATTACAACCCGTTACAGTCTTATTTGATTCTATTCGAGCATACTTAATTAGTAGAGATGTACATAATGGGCAAGCCTATGGTTCTTTGTGCATACATGTGAATTTCTTTGTGAGTGCGAGAGTTGTTCTTTGATGCAAAGTCCTTAAATTATATTCATTCTTTGACTTGAGTGCATGGACTATTTATTCTTGTGAGGGCACTAGTTTCATGATAGATAGGTGATGTTATTAGTTTTATTTGACAGAGTAGGTGAACAAGCTTAAATTTGGTGAGTTAGAGTCCCTCTCTGAGGTTAGGAGGTTAGAAGTTTGTTGTTTGTTTGTGACTTGAATATCTTGCACGATGATGAGGAAGTGTATATCTGATGGTTTGAGTTGCTATAGGACCTAATTGTTAGTATCTACCAAAGTGGTGGTGTTTCCAGGCTTGATTTATTGAGAGTAGTTTTAATGCTTACTCGAGGACGAGCAAGAGTCTAAGTGTGGGGTGTTGATGTTCAGCCAAAAATGCGTATATTTCACCATTAGTGCCTCACTTTCTAGTGCTTTTAATCATCTTTTGAGTATCAATTATATTATATTATGCTTAATATTATATTTTAACCGTGTAAAAATAAAGCGGTGTGAAGATGAAAAGATTTGGAGCAAAATTAAATAAAACGCGGAAGAAAAAAAGTAAAAAAAAGAGGGACACCCTTTGGATTTTGTCCCCCCCAAATTGAAGACAAAAAGGAGAAATAAGCAACAAAATGAAGGGCTTCTAACGCAGCAAAGTAATTGAAGGCAAAAACAATCTGCCTCCAGCACCACGGCTAGCGCTAGGCGCAGGTCTGGACGCCGCGGGCGGGGACTTTTCCTATTTCGTCCGGGACAAGGTTATTTCGGCCCTAAACGACCCCATCTTGTATAAAAGGGGTCCTAAACCTAATTTGGAGGGGATCTAACATACTTTGAAGGAAAATTCACATGGAGGAACACAAACCACACTTGGAGGAGGCTTCTAATTAGTTTTTCTTCTCTTCTCTTCTTTTAGTTTCATAGTTTATTAGTTCTAGAGTTTTTGGTGCTGCATGAACGTTGTAGTTTGAAGCTTGAACTGTTCTTATTATTTTGTCATATTGGTTTATTTATTCAATCTTGCACTTAATTATTTGATTGCTTGATCACCAATTGAATACTATCTACGAATCTAGGATTGAACTCGGGAGCAGGAATTCTAGATTGCATATAAGAATGAGTAGAGCAAGATCTTAACTCGTGGGGGGGGGGGGAGGGGATTTGCGATTACGATAGGAATATACCTAATCGCCTTGCTTGGTTACTATACAGGAATTATTAATGCGTTCTTGTTAATTCTAATTCCATAGGAATATAGGCGTTAGATTAGCTTGAATATGCGAGTTGTACTTCGGGAGAAGGCTACGAGCAATATTAACCCTGTCAACCAAAAACCAGATAAATTAATTAGACGATTTAAGTGGAAAACTCAACGGTATTGTTAGCTAACCCATAGCTATAGAATATTCACTCACATTGAATTCGTCTCTATAATTCACCAACTTGTTTTCTTTGATCTCTTAATTTCTTACTCTAGATTAATTTTAGTTAAGTATTCATACGTTAGGATTCACTTCAATAGATTAATTATTTGATTTAATTTAGTTGATAGTTAATCATAAGTTCCTGTGGGTATGATATCTGGACTTACAATCCTATATTACTTGTCGACCACGTATACTTGCGTGTGCGTTTGGGAGCAACAGTAACCAAGGCACTTCATGTGTTATGACTCATCATGCACATTGGTGCCACCTTGGCCTAGCTTAATGCCATGTGGCACACCCAATTTTTTTTATCCACTTAATCCTATTTAATACCATAATTATCCCCACAACTAATTAATTATCCACATAATTAAGAATTATCTCAAATTACTTAAAATACTACTCACTTTTAATACACTTTATGCATCTTACTATCATGGTCATGTGGTACCTTGTATGTCACTAGTCCATAAATACGGGGTATTATAGCTTGGACCGTATTTTATCCCAAAATGCCAAACTTCGAAAAAACTCATTTCCTCGATTCGCTTACCCTCTCACCTTCATGAATTTACTTATCACTTGTTTGAAATAGCATAATACTTATAACCTCAAAATAATCTCATTCCCGAGCTTACGTCGATTAACTTACGACGAAACTTTAATGTACGAAAATACGGGATGTAACATCTCATTTCCAACCTTTCACCAATTTACTTATGGCGTACTTTCACGTACGAAAACATGGGTCGTAACAATAGGCGCACATTAAAGGTTCTAAAAGTCTAATATAGAGGATTAATTGGGAAAAATACTACTTTATGACTATTGTTTAAAACATGGCTAACATTTAAAGGTATTTAAAAAATAGCCACAGCTTTAAAAAGCAGCAGCCCCTCCGTTTCTTTACTTCTTCTCAGTTTTTCTGTGCCTTTTCTGCTTCCTCTTCTTTTTTACAAAGACAAAGCTCCTAACTCCTTTGTGCAATAGCAATTCCAATTCTAATCTTTAATAATAATATATGTAGTGGTGTTTAATTAGGTATAGATCTTAAGAAAGTAAGGAAGAGTTGTCTAAAACATATTTAAAAAATTTGTTATTGCTATAAATTATCTCATTACAAATAAAATGGGAAGTATAATAAAGTTAAATTATTTCTACGTAAGTATGATATTCTTTTTATAAAAGTATGAAATGTAAATGTGGGAAAGAGGGAGTAATACATAATGTATAGTCACCTATCGTTGCTAAGCTGTGGAAAGACTGTAAGGGGTTGTATGGTAAAATATCTCAAAATTAGCTAATACCTTTAATCAAATATGGGACAAATACAATCTCAAATACTATCCCCAAATTATTGTCCTTATCCCGATAACCAAACAACCCTAAGAATACTACAACTACCACTGAAAAAGTGCAGAAGAGCTACAAAGGTGAATATTAATTATATGTATTTTTGTTAACTCTTCAACTTATCGTGAAGTAAGAAATGCAAATGGAGAGAAATGTTAGGTCTCACCGAATCACAATATTGATAACACACAAAGAGCTATTTCGTAGTAACTTATTGATTGAGCACCTGCCCATAAACCACCTACAAAGAAAGATTTATTATTTGATCCATATCCCGACATAAGAAGTCCAACGAGAGCAATACTTGAAATGGCAATCCAGAAAGAAGAAAAAAAGTCAATACTAAGATCAACTAGAATAACGCGATCACTAAAAGAAATTACTAAATAACTTAGAAAGATAGATAGTACTTCTATGGATGGTCCGACACTAAATAAACAAGTATCTCCTCTTTCGAAAGTAGTTTTGTCCCATCTGCTAGAGCCTGAAGAATTCTTAGAGGATGCCATATCTCGAATATTTATAAAGCAAAATGGGATCTTTATACAAATAGCTGGCCAAATTTACTGTTTAATTTTTCTAACCGATATACAGAAATTATACACGATTATTCATATATTATAATACATTTACATCTCCGGCTATTTTTAGATTAAGCTATTGAATGAGCGGCTATTTAGGTTAATTCTCCAAACTAAATCTCTAAACAAGCAATTTTAACTTACAAGACAGTTCAATCAAGAGCTGTTCAATTGAGGCTCATATTGTTTGCTTTTCATACGAGTTGCGAGTTATAGACACATGAGCATTAGCAAATGAGAATATGTGCATGCAAATATTGTTGTTGTCCGACCAAAAAAAAAATACTATAATATATTGTTGTTTGCATTTAGCACAGATGGGCGGATTTAGGGGGTGGGAAGGGTTTCACCCGAATCCCCTTCGCCGAAAAATTACACTGTAGATATAAGGCAAAATCCAGTATATGCCTTTATATATTGTTTTGAATCCTCTTGACACATTCCAATAGCATAGCTTGGTGGTCAAGTGAATCAAAATCTTTGTTAGGTCACTAGCTTAGCCATAGTCTCTTTTAATTTTTTTAACTTTTTTCTATTTTGAACCTCTTAGCGGAAATCTTGCCTCCGTCACTGAGCACGGATTGGTATTGTTCGCATTGCTGGGCCAATACATGGTGCGTGCACGACTAATTGGGGGGCTATGAATAGATAATGAATGTAGTACTGTATCAAGTTTTGCTCGAGTACTCATGATTGTCTTGTGTGAGTGGAGATAAACTTTGTTGATCAACATGAACTATGGAAAGAAAGAGACTAAAGTGGCATAACTTTTTGATGTATTTCTTTTTCTTGGTTATGTTTTCTGCAAGACTAAATCAACAAAATGTTCACATTCCTAAATTTAACACCATATATCGGACCAAAATCAAAGTGCAGATCATCAATTTTTATGTCGACTTGAGTCAGTTTTTCACTTCAGACTTTAAATAGAGATATTACCTAAAGACGTCTATTAGTATGAAGTACTAAATGAATGCATTTGAACTCCATCTATGTGACATTGCTCGCATTGCTAGTCCCAAAACTCTGGTGCAGGAGGAGCATTATGGTACGTTAGCCGCCAACATAAAAATTACTATCAATTTGAAATGAGTCCTCATATGATGATAACATAACTTGAGCTTAAATGAAAAAGTAAGAATTCATATAGCCGCCCCTAACTTATTTGGGATTGACACATAATTGTTGTTACTGGACTAATTAATGAACGCATCTAGCATTAAGAAACTAAAATAAAATAAGATAATTTTGTTACACCAAATAAAATTAAAAAAGAATAAAATTGACACACATGATCAGTGGCAAAATCTTCTACATCTAGATAACAATATAGTAGTTCTTTTACACAAATATAAAAGAAGAGGTTTGTATAATATATAAAATTATAAGGGATATATATATATATAGTAGTAACAAATTGAAAACCTCATAAAAAGTATGTGTAAAAGGAAAGAACAAGAGATAAGCATGTTTGCTACATTTTGCTTATCCTTGCACCAAATCCTTCTCTAACTGCAGTCTAACCCCATAATTAGCACCATTTTGACAATCATATCATTTCACAGTTTGTAAACACCCGATACGAGTAAGTTTTTATCCAACCAACTAGAAAGCCAAGGCAGTTCTCTAATTTATGTACAAGAGAAACCACCAAATAGCAGCAGCATTTGTTTATTTTGAGAGGGCTTTGGCATGAACCTCAGCCTCTTCCTGCTTCAGCCTTCAGGCATTTGGTTCCTACAATAACCTAAAACAACATTTCAAACCACCTGCAGAATCAAATAAAGTAACACGCTTCAGTAAGACAACAAAGGGGAGATTGGTTTTATGGCCCATTATAAATATTATTTTAATTGTCTGGTCATTTTTACACGAGATTAATAAAATATTACACATGAGATCAGTAAGTAAAACACAATAGACCTTAGTAGATTTTTTTTTTTTTTTTTTTAAATTCTACAAAAATTGTAACTAGTCATAGGAGATCATTTTCTTGGCCATATATCTCATCATAAATCAATATTAGGGAAAACGAATCAGGCCATAATGAATTCTACTCCGATGAAAATATTATGTAACTCTTTAATAATTAACGAAAAATTGCCTTATTTTCATGTGTGTAATATTTATTAGTAGAAAATGGTAATTTGGGTGATTCATAAAGAAATTAGGGAAATAAATATTACAAAAAATGATATATCAATATTGACAAAATTATGCTTCGCATCTGATGACAAACATGGTACGCAATTGATAAATCAATAAAGAAAATTACCATTTAGGTGTTTTATTTCCGTAAAGTCCTACCATAAGTTATTCCAATTTCCATGTTAGATCCAATATGAAATAATATACTAAATTTTCTATAAAGTTATCTCGATATAACCTATAGTATGAAAAACGAAATGCGAATCAAAAATGGTATGAAATGGTATTACCAATCTTTTCCATAAGATTTTTTTTTTTTAATCCCAATAACCATACGACTCCTAAGCTCCCGTTTGGCTATAGATTTTGGCTTTATTTTTTCAAAAAAGTTTTGAAAATATTTTGTTTATGAAATATGATCATGTTTTGAAAAAGAAAAAAAATCAAAGATTTTCAAGTTCCCAAAAAATGGTTTAGGGGTGTTTTTTGGCAATGTTTTTTCTTCCACTCATAAAACTTCAAGATTTTTCAAATAAAATACAATTCCAAAAATTAGTTTTCAACATAACTGCACAACTCTTTTTTTAAGTTTCAACCAAATATATTCCAAATGGTAGCTAAATATTTTTGCTACAAATGTAAGAAATTTATTTTTTAAAATAAACATACCCGATTTAATCCCGGAAAATGACCTTGTCTGCAATTTCCATCAACGGCTTCAGACAATCCGGTGAGAATTTTCTTGCAAACATGTGGGAATACGTAGAATTCGATTCCCGGAGCTTATAAATAAGCTCCGGCGAAATATCCGCCGGAAAATAAGTACGTGGGTGTCCGTCAACACTCTCCGTCCAATTAACACGAGTTAATGTATACTGTGTACAACCTTCAGGATCCTCCATTGACAAAAGTGTAGGAAAATAATGCTCCTCAGGATAACACGAATCGTCGTTCAAACAAGGTAATCTAAACTTCCTCCATAACCTCCTATCCCTAATTACTACCAATGCATGCCTTCGCGTCAGAACAAAGAATTGAGACCCAAACCGAAACCTATCGAATGGTACTTCGGGTAGCATTGCACTTTCGCCACGTGCAACGTATCGGTCCCACATGTACGACTCGTTGGATAATATTTGGATGAAGCTCCGATATTCGGGGAATTGAGATGTGAAGAGGGAGTTGTAAATATAGTTGAATGAATGTAAAGGGATGCAATGTTGTGATACAAGGGCAAAATAGGAATTTAATGGGTCGTCTAAGAGGGCCGTCGCCATAAGGCGACGAGCAGCTGATATTAGGGTAGGTGATGCACGTTGAGTCCTCTTGGCTGCGATGAAACGGCCCTTGAAAATCCGCCCGCCAGGTGGCGAAACTTTGGATGAAGGATCTGCATGGATGTAAATATTGTAAAGGCCATCGTGGCTGGCGAAGAATCGATCCCAAAGAGGAGCGAAATGAAGATCAGTGTTGGTGAGGAAGAGAAAAGCGATCTTGAGACGGGGGTTGGTGGTGCCAAGACGAGAGATGGCACCACCGCCCCTATCAATGGAAGCAAGGGTAGCGCGCCTGAATAAAGCTAAATCATCAAGTTCATCAGGAATAGAGATTTCTACGTGTTTTGGTGGAAATATTCGTGGGGCGAAAAGGAAAAGAAGAGGAAATGATAATAAAAGTGCAAAAGATAGAACAAAGGGCGTGTTAAACATAGCCAGCCTTTACGTTAAACATATATAAACTATAGGGCAAAAACAACAAAAACGAATGTAGAAATGATAAGATGATTTATATGTACAATGTGATGAAGATGAAAGTCAGAGGAGGAATTGGAAAATTATTCCCAAATACTGAAGGGGACAGAGAGAAGCAAAAAAATTGGAAATTTGTGGACAGTGATTAAGAAAAAAATTAGAGAATGGTGCCATGAAAATTCACAAAAGGAAAAGTGGAAGTCTTATCTCCTAAGCCTTCGGAGGCAATGGTAGGATGTGAGTTATTTTAGGAATTACTATATATATATATCTCTACATATATTCACAAGCACACTTGAGAAAAATTTCTAGAGTCAGATCTCAAATCCAATAAATAACATTAAGAGCTAATTTTTTTTACTTGCAGAAGCTTTAAACCTAAATCATTTCAGTATGAGGATTTTGGTTATATACTTTACAATGCAAAGATTAACTTGTTATAGTAAATTAAGTGCAATTACTTTAGGTCACGATATTAAATAGAGTTATATATAATTACGTAAGTGACCTGATTATGTAAATATCTTTTACAACGTCAGTATATAGAGTTAAAATCTATAATGAATATTTCATCTCTCTAATATATATATATATATATATATATATATATATATATATATATATATATATATATATATATATAAAGAGAGAGAGAGAGAGAGAGAGAGAGAGAGAGAGAGAGAAAGTAAGCGTAAATTATTGTTATCTCTCTTCCTTCTCTTCTCTCTCATGCGATCGGTGCACGTCAGCTAACTGTACGCCGGAATCGTCCATGGCAAGAGGGCGAGGACGAGGTAGACCGAAGAAAGTTCCGCTAGTCGCTTTTGGAAGCTCAGTGGGAGCTTGAGTGCAAGTTGAAGAAGCTCGACCTAAGATAAGTGAAACTACTCCAACTCAGATAATGGAGGATAAGAGAACCAATATACTGGGATCTGCAACAATTCCAAAAACAGTGGCACAATGACTGCAATTAATTGATGAAATAACTCCTAGCTCTGAAGGAGAAAACCTTCAAATTACAAACCCTAGGTCAATTGATGGTTCAACAAGTGCTAATCTTAAGCCAATTACAGGGATGACAGTAACTAAAGAAGCAGAGAATACACAAGTGACAAAGGAAACAGAAATGAGTGCAGCAAAGAATACGCAACAACCACTGGGAGGAAATGCTACAGTAACCAATGGAACAGTGACAGAAGTGGTACAAGGCGTTCAAAAACGAGCAGAGGATCCAAAGCAGATGGGGACATGGACTAACCTGTTTAAAGGTAATAGATCAGGTGCTAATGGCATGGCCTTTTCATACATCCCTCCCCAACTGGTGGATGGTCAACCAGTAGTGCAATTGGAAGAAGAGGAAGTAGCACCAGAGGAAGAAAAGTGGAGATGTGCATTAATAGCTTATATCATTTGTGAGACTCCAGGGTATAATGCAATGTGTCGTTACATTGAACAAAGTTGGTCTGATGTTACTAACCCTGATGTTTATTATCATGAAGAGGGATATTATGTGCTTAAGTTTCATTCTATCACTGATATGCATGCAATATTCTATGCTGGACCATATACAATAATAATAGACCAATAATTTTGAAACCTTGGACACCTGAGTTTGAGTTTAGTAAGGAGTTTCCAACTGACATTCCTCTATGGGTAAAATTTCCTAATCTACCAATGAGCTGTTGGAGTAGTAAATCATTGAGCAGAATATCCAGTGTTCTAGGCACACCTTTGTATGCTGATGAATGCACTACTAAACAAACAAGGATATCCTACGCTCGTATGCTAATTGAAGTGAATGTGAGTCGAACATTGCCTGAGGAAAACACTATGATAGATCCAAAAGGAAGAAAGTTTCAGCAATATGTAACATATGATTGGAAGCCTATGTTTTGTGACAAATGTCAGATTGTTGGTCATAGCTGCCAGACCAGAGCAAAAACTGCAGTGCCACAACAACAGAGAAAAGAGATAATAAACCTGTCACTTATGAGTGGAGAACCAAGGGATCGATAGCACCAGCTGCAGATCAAAATGCAGCAGCAGCACAACCTTTCCAACAGAAGAGACGGCAAGAGGATCCTAAGCAGAAGAGGATAATAGCTGAAAATGAACCAAGAAAACAAACTTCAGAACAATCAGAAAGTTCAAGAACAAGTGGAACACAGGTACAACAACCAACAGAGGCCGGAGGGCATGCTACTACTCAGCACACAGAGGGAGGAACTAATGCAAGTCCAACTTTTAACCTCCACAACTTTCTTGAGCTCAGAGCATCACCTTCAAGACATGGATCAGAACCAAGTAGAAAGGGGCATAGTGATAACAAATTCATACTCCTTTATAGGGGTAGGGATCCAAATCTTACTCTATGAAGTGGTTATTCTGGAATGTTAGAGGTGTAAATAAGAGATATAAATAAAAGGAACTGAGGAACTATATGAAGAATAACAACATTAAACTGGCTGGACTGGTAGAAACAAGAGTCAAAGAGCATAATGCCCAAAATATATGCCAATACACAATGCCAAGATGGGAGAGCATGATGAACTATTAGGATGCAAGAAATGGAAGGATCTGGATAGGCTGGGATCCAAGCTACTATACAGTACAAATGATCATAACTGAAGCACGGCTAATACACTGTCATGTCAAAAGTAATACAGGTACTATGAATTCTTTGCTAACTGTTATATATGGTTACAATACAATAGAGCAAAGGACAACATTATGGGAGAAATTAAAAGACGTGGCACAAGGGATAAACATACCATGGTTAGTTACTGGTGACTTCAATGCAGTAATGACTGTATGCAAAGCTTAATGCTCAATGAACTCCAATGGAAAGGTGATTACTATACATGGACTAATAAGCAAAGTGGCACTAATAGAATCTACAATAGAATAGATAGAACATTTGGGAACTATGAGTGGATGATGCAATGGGGACACTTACTTATAGAATATGATATTCCACTCCTATCAGACCACTCTCCGATGGTATTAGCTATGGCTCAGCTAAAACAGAACATTAAAATACCATTCAGATTTCTTAACGTTTGGTTTAAGCATGACAGTTTTTTTTACCATTGGTAGAACAAATATGGAGGAAGAACATGGCGACCAACAAGATGAAAGATATCCGGCTAAAGCTAAAACCTCTGAGGCCTCTACTAAAGTAGCTGAACAATGAGGAGTTCAAATACATATCACAAAGGATTGAGAAGACTAGAGCTGAATCGATCAATACTCAGAAGCAAATAAGTAACAAATGCTCTGATGAATTAGTGGAAATGGAGAGGCAGCACCTGCACAACTTGGAAAAATGGTCTATGATTGAGGAACAAACAGTGCAGCAGAAATCCAAGGTATATTGGATAAGGCTAGCGGATTCTAATACAAAATATTTCACAGCTATTGTCAAAGAAAGGGCACAAAGGAAGCAGATTAATGAGTTAATTTCAATGTTTGGCACTAAACTCACAGATACTCAAAGCATCAAAGAAGAGATTGTAGATTTCTACAAAGGTATTATGGGATCTGCAGCAAAAACACTTCTAGCAATTAACAAGCACACCATGAGGAAAGGCCCTACCTTGTCACACCAACAAAAACTGGACATGTGTACAGAGGTCACTAAACAATAGGTATTCAAAGCAATGAACTCAATAGGAGATGAGAAGTCCCCAAGTGTAGATGGTTTCAACTCTTATTTCTTCAAAAAAGCCTGGAAAGTAGTGAAGGGAGATGTAGTAGGGGCAGTCAAGGATTTCTTCAGTACTGGGAAAATGTATAAGGCAGTCAATTGTACTGCCATTACATTAGTGCCAAAGACTGCTCACCCTACCATGGTAAAGGAATATAGACTAATAACATGTTGTTCTGTCCTATACAAGATTATAGCAAAGATACTGGCAAATAGAATACAACCAATGGTTGCTGATATCATCTGTGAAGCACAGGCAGGCTTCATACCAGGAAGGAAGATTGTTGATAGTATCATACTTGCTCATGAACTAGTGAAGTCTTACTCCAGGAAGCAAGTATCACCCAGATGCATGATCAAAATTGATCTCCAGAAGACATATTCTGTTGAATGGCCTTTTCCGGAACATGTCATGTTTGAACTAGGTTTCCCATCCCAATTTGTTACTTGGATAATGGAATATGTGCATACAATGAATTATACCATTATGATAAATGGGAACCAACAGAGCTTTTTAATGCTGCAAGGGGTCTTAGGCAAGGGGATCCAATGTCACCTTTTCTCTTTGCTATGGCTATGGAGTACCTGGGTAGATGCCTGAATGAGCTCAAAGAAGTAAAAGCCTTCAAATATCATCCTAGATGTGCTAAGCTGAGAATCACTCATCTCAGTTTTGCAGATGATCTTCTTATATTCACTAGAGGAGACATAGCTTCAGTAACAACAATGTAGCAATGCTTTCTACATTTCTCTGCAGCCTCTGGTCTTCAGGCTAATATGGGCAAGAGCTGTGTGTATTTTGGAGGGGTTAAACATCAGGAGAAAGAAACAATATTAGCTAAGCTGGGATTCAACCAAGGAGACCTACCTTTCAAGTACCTTGGTGTACCATTATCAACAAAGAAACTGAACCTTATCTAGTGGAAGCACTTGTTGACAATATTACAGCTAGAATCACTTCTTGGACTGCCAAAAAACTCTCTTATGCAGGCAAGATTCAGTTGGTACACTCAGTTATTTTTGGGTACAATCATATTGGGCTCAATTATTCCTAATTCCTACAAAAATTCTGTCGCTTATAGAGGCTTACTGTAGGAGTTTTGTCTGGTCTGGAACTAATACAATCACAAAGAAAGCACTGGTAGCATGGGAAAGAGTATGCTCTCCAAAATCTATGGGAGGATTAAACCTTATCAACATCAAATTGTGGAACAAAGCTGCTGTGACGAAAACATGTTGGGACCTTGCTCACAAACAGGACAAGCTATGGATTAGATGTACATACATACTATATAAAAGGGCAGCAAATTCAGGAAGCAGGCATCCCTCAACAAGCATGTTGGATCATAAGGAAGATAATGGAAGCCAGAGAGGATATGAAGCTACTTTAAAATGATACAACACTAAAGAAGAGCATCACTAGAT